GGTGACACTCCAGTCAGTCCCACTCGACGACCTGGCAGCCTCAGCAGATAAAATACTGGAGATATCCAGCAGACCCGTCTCCAACGTATATTCTATCTGCGACAAAACAGAGCGCCAGGATTCGGAGGTGACCAAGTTGTGCAACTCTGTGAAACGGTTGCTACGATCTCGAAGTCCTAGATCACGTAGCACTTCACAGAAACGCACCTTGGCGCATCGCAGCAAGTCGCGTGGTAGCCCTAAAACGAAACCCAACAGGGTGGAAAACCCTGAATGGTGCTGGTTTCATAACACTTACGGGGATGAAGCCAGAAAATGTCGTAAACCATGCCGTTTTAAGAAGGACACAAACTCGGGAAACGGTCACGCCGGCACGTGCTCACGGCAACCGTAGCCGGCGGAAAAAGCCGTTTGCTCTACGTCACCGACATTAAAACGAAAGTCCGCTACCTCGTCGACACCGGCGCAGAAGTTAGCGTTCTTCCAGCAACGACAAAGGAGCGTCATCTTGACCCATCCTTCAATCTTCAAGCAGCCAACGGCAAGGCAATCGCGACATTCGGGAGACGGTATGCCTACCTCAACTTAGGTTTACGCAAACCTATTCACTGGATTTTCCTCCTGGCAGACGTCTCTATGCCCATCATTGGCATAGATTTGCTAAACCATTACGATCTACTCGTAGATGCTCGCCGTCGACGACTGATAGATAACAGCACAAAGTTATCTATTGGCGGCACCACCTATGTAGGTCCGAGTTTAGCCATCGTTAGGACTAAACAATCAGGCGACGCGTCCTACCAGGCAGTTCTGGAGAAATATCCAGAGTTACAACAACCGAAGCACACTCTTCCGTGCATAACCAGCAATGTTATGCATCACGTCACAACCACAGGTCCACCTGTGGCATCCAAAGCTCGCCGTTTAGCCCCCGATAAGCTCAAAACGGCGAAAAATGAATTCGACCACATGCTCGACCTGGGCATTATCAGACCGTCGAACAGTCCTTGGGCATCGCCATTGCACATGGTGCCCAAAAAGGATAGCAACGACTGGCGTCCAACCGGTGATTACCGAAGGCTCAACGCCAAAACAACTCTGGACTGCTACCCGATACCTCACGTTTACGACTTGACCGCAACCTTATGCGGCATGAACATTTTCTCGAAAATCGACTTGGTCAAAGCGTACAACCAGATACCTATGGCAGCAGAAGATATCGCGAAAACAGCCATTATTACTCCTTTTGGCCTGTTTGAATTCCTGCGCATGCCTTTTGGTCTTCGGAATGCAGCACAAACATTCCAACGCTTTATGGACGACGTCTTCCGTGGTCTGAATTTTGTTCATGTCTACATCGATGACTGTCTAATTGCGAGTCCAGATAAGGAAACACACCTTAAACATTTGGACCTCGCATTCGAAAGACTCAAAAAACATGGCATCACAGTTAACTTACAGAAGTGTGAAATAGGAGTTGAATCACTCAGCTTCCTTGGGCATACCATTGACAACAAAGGTATACGCCCATTGAGAGATAAAGTGGCGGCTATCACAAACTATCCAGAGCCGACCACTGTGAAACATCTCCGCACTTTCAATGGCCTGGTAAGTTATTACCGAAGGTTTATCCCTAACTGTGCCTCTGTCATGAGACCACTCACAGATCTACTTCGAGGAACTGCGAAGTTCGTGTCTCTGGACAACGCGGCTAGACTTGCTTTCTCCAAAGTCAAGGAAGCCATTTCGAACGCAACCATGCTTATGCATCATGACCCCAATGCTCCTCTGAGTATTGCTGTTGATGCATCTGATTCAGCAATTGGAGCAGTTTTGCAACAGTTGACTGACAACCAGTGGCAACCGTTAGCCTTTTTCTCGAGGCGGCTGCAAGACGCGGAAACAAGATACAGTACATTTGGTAGGGAACTCCTAGCCATGTACTGTTCTGTACGCCATTTTCGACATTCTGTGGAAGGTCGTGATTTCATTATTTTCACAGACCACAAACCGTTAACGTTTTCCCTCAGCTCGGCGTCTGACAAATACTCCCCTCGTGAGTCGCGACAGCTGGATTACATTTCCCAGTTCACGTCAGACATCCGCCACATTTCTGGAGCAAACAACTCCGCAGCCGACGCACTATCTCGAATAGCTTCGATAAACTATATCGAGGGTATTGATCTCGTTGAACTAGCTCGGCGTCAAAAGGAAGACCTTGAGCTGCATCATGAGTTGTCGTCCACAACTCTCAAACTGCGACTTTGTCCTGTTGGATCAGACAAGGATGCAATTTTGTGCGATGTCTCTGCTAGTCAACCACGCCCAATAGTTCCGAAGAGTTGTCGACGCAACGTCTTCAATACGTTGCACAAACTCTCTCATCCAGGTGTACGAGCCACCATTAGGCTTATCGCACAACGTTTCTGCTGGCCTGGGATGAACAAAGACGTTAAGGAGTGGGCCCAGTCGTGCTTAGCTTGTCAAAAGTGTAAAGTCACGCGACACACGAAAAGCCCTTTAGGCTCATTTCTAGCCCCAGACATGCGTTTCGACCACGTCCATATAGATATTGTAGGACCCCTACCAGAATCTAATGGATGTACCTACCTTTTCACCTGTGTTGATCGTTTCACACGATGGCCGGAAGCAGTACCCATTAAAGATATTACTGCCGAAACAGTTGCTCGTGTTTTCGTCGAAAGATGGATCGCGAACTTCGGATGTCCATCCTACGTCACAACCGACCGTGGGCGCCAATTTGAGTGCGGACTATTTCACGCTCTAACGGCACTTTTAGGTTGCACTCGGTTCCGAACGACAGCCTACCATCCACAAGCAAATGGCATGGTAGAGCGTTTCCATCGACAGCTGAAAGCTTCCCTTTCAGCTACAAACATACCTCAGTGGACCGAGGCTCTGCCTCTAGTCCTACTAGGTATTCGTAACGCGTTGAAAGTTGATGCTGGATGCACTCCTGCAGAACTCGTCTATGGGACCACTCTTCGCCTACCAGGTGAGTTTGTTTCCCCTTCAACTTTCAAACATGTTTCCGACAGGGCATCTTACGTGACTAGGCTTACAAACGCAATGCGTTCAGTTAGGCCTTCTCCGATTAGACCGCAAACGACTGATGTTTTCGTCCACCCCAGTTTACAGAAGACATCACACGTGTTTGTTCGCCACGACGCTGTTCGTCGACCACTTGAACCACCCTACGACGGGCCGTTCAAAGTGATTAAGCGACATGAGAAATTCTATATAATTGAGCGAGACGGACGTGAAGATACTGTCAGTATCGACCGTTTGAAACCAGCTTATTTCGAAGGCAACCCCATTGTAAGTGACGTTTCAGCTCGCTACATCCGACCGACGGATGACTCAATTATCGAAATTCTCGACGATGTGCCTGGTAATGCACAGCTGCAACAACCAGCGGCGCAACAAAAAACACGATCAGGTCGAACCGTCAGGTTCCCAGAGTACCTGAAGTCATATTCAACTTAGCTGTGTGTGTGCCAACCATTTTTTTTTTTTTCGAGGCACTATTTTTCTTATTTACCGGCAAGCACAAACCCTCGTACACTTTGCCTTTTTATATCAATTTTTATTTACCATGTAATAAAAACTAAAAAAAACGGCGAAGATAAGCGTAAATTTTTATTTTTCGACACGTTTATATATAAATAATTCCCATTTTTACGCAACGTTTTCGTGGTATTAAAGACTTTTATTTATATTCCAGGTGCAACGAGCACTGGACGGAACGTCGAAAGGAACAGATGACCGCGACCGACGTACAATTTCATTTATTGTATTTTATTTATTTAATCGCCACGACACCCTAGAATAAGGTTCAGACAACCAGGGGCCACCTCACGCAGTGAGCCCATCGGAAGAGTTTTACCAGTGGAGAAACCACTGGGTTTTTACTTCCGGCTGGTATCGTCTTAGGGTCCTCACGAACCCACTAGGGGGGGAGTGATCTGTAGCGTCATACACTTCCCCAAAATCAATAGCCTAGGGTTTGACGACTTCGACATTGATGCTGACCTTGATAGTTTAACTGGACTCGCTAAGCTGAAGGCACCCGGTCAAGCATCCTCGCCATTTGGCACGCTGTCGTGTTACGTTGCATTGCTCGTATTCGACTCTCTAGCCAGTTAGTTGGAACGCATCGGTATTTTGGCATAACCATCCAAATATACTATTCCATCCGACTACGCTATCGTGTTCTTCCTTGGTCTCGTATTCGTGGGTATATAACAAGTTCGAATAATTAGTGATTGGTCTTTGCGTCTGTCAAGTTCGCACCAGGACAAATCCTAAAAAATGTTTACCTGGTGTGACTAATGGGTCTTGAGGATCGATTTCAGAAAGCGTGGGGCAACACAGATCGATGGTGAAAATTCTGAAGGTAACCCGATGGATCTTCAACCGGTAGACGGGGTTTCGGAACCAAGTGTTTAGGGGCTATAGGAGGTCATGACTTAGAGACGATCATGAACCGTAATCTTTCTGCTACTAGAACATTCCGAATACTCTAGAGACTTCACAGAGTATTCGAATGCAGCGATGAAAATATATTATGGATTCGATGCTCCACAAACGTCGGGCCTCATTTAGAGTATCGTGTCCAGACAGCTACTTCACGTTTCATAGGAAAAACCGATGTATCAAAACTAGTAACACCTATCGCATGGGACGGACAAAGACTGAACCTCGCCAACTGAACGAGTGCTGTCAGCCATTTTTGTGAACATGTTTACGGGGACCGGGTCCCTGCAGAGGTGATCACTGCCAGGATTAGCCGAGACTAAGAGCACACTATCCATTTCAGTGACGATGCTTTTCCACACTGGCTGAAAACCAGAAGAAATTTTGGTTCGCTGCTGGAGGCCAGTTTTATGACAATTTCTTACATTTAGTTGTAGGCTATGTAAAATCATTTGAATGGACAGACAACCTACCGTCCTCAAATAAATTCGAGATATGAAATTGGATATTGGACATTTGTCATTGCGGTAACTTTCTCAAACTTGCTACTGTATGTGTGTGAGTGGGCGGTCACTTAGTTTGGCTATGAATATTAAGTAAGACCAACGATTTTAAGGTCACCAGAAACATCATGTTATAATATCTCTACTCCATGATCTTATTGAGTTGATTGGCAGTTTTTGTGCTTGCACATAGATTTTCACTGGAACTTTATTTTGTTATATTTTGTACTAAAGTATTGAATATGGTGGAATATTCCCGCAAAACTAATCTTTGCGTCATTTTAAAAGATAGTTGTGCTGTCTATATGTTCACCAAAAAGGCTAATGTCGCCTACTTGTTTAAAGAATTCCAGCAGGGAACTTGAAACTCCCACCGAACTAAAAGATCTCACTATTTTGAAAAGACCATTTAAAAGTGATAAGCTTAAGGTGTTCTAAAGAATTCCGTTTCCCATTCTCAATAAATTAATGTTTTCATTTTGATGAATCGTTTTTGTTTAGAGTGAGAATTCGTATGGTAGCTTAGCAGTTGCTTTAAAATAAACGAATGTCATGACAGTCTTTGAATTCGAGTCTGGGAAATGAAATTAAGTATCAGGATATTCTGACACCTCAAAGTCCACTTGATCGGATCAATCTGAACCTGTGCTTCTTCTACCAAGTAGTCAACGACTGAAGCTCTTTTACCGCACCAAGTGTTATCATATCCTTCAGTCGCCGTGTGCAAGTAAAAACTAGATATTCACAGAGATATCTAACACAAGGATTAGCACAGGACAATTGACCTACCATCCTTATTACTGAATACGAATTTTTAACCGTTGGATTATGAAACTTGGAATTTAGGTGACAAAGCAGCAAAAGAAAGGCAGAAATGTCAATTTTGTCTTGGTGGTTCTGAAATAAGGTTACATTTTTTCATTTGCTGTTTTATAGACAAAATCACCAACTTGCTGAATGACCTGGAAAAACCAGTTGAAATCTTCGTCCGCTAAGGCAGTTAATTTTTGGTCGCTATGGTTTATCTGTCTCAAATGTTTGCTGCCGACCCTCTATAAAGTTAGCGGTCGGATTTTGGAGACTCAATTAAGGCTTCAATAATTTTAAGCTAGTAATTAACGACAATCCAGTGTGAATCCTTTGTCCATATTTTCTCCCTCTTTGGGAAATACAAACGTGCAAGACGTCGCAGATTTAGCGTACAGCGTAAGAGCATCATATGCCAAATAATTCCTTTTAATTCTTTTGAGCTCCATCACTAAATAATCCAACCTTAATCTCCATTGGTTTAAAATTACTGGGTCGCTGGACAACCCACTCGAAGGCTAAAAATTTTTTTGTTATTTCAATCCTGCTTCTGTGGTATTCAAGTCAGATCTACCAGTCGTTAATTGAGTAGTGTAATGATTGAGCAGTGAAAAGTCCCACGTTGATTTTCTCAAAGAAAGGATCGGCTCGCTGAATGCAGCAGCATAAATGAACGAAATGCAACTCAACAAACGTGTACACGTTCTTGCATTGGTAAATAAGTCATATCTAGTGTGTGAGGGTTTGTGACATTACTTGACTATCGGAACCTCGACATGTAGAGTAAAGTACGAACCTATGAATCACTAGTTGAAAGCTGAACGCCTGAACTAATGAGCTACGGCTCCTTCCTAAACGCAGTATTCAAACTGATGTACGTAATCGATCGTCGGAATGTAGGTTCTTAAACTCAAATCTAAGTCCTAAGGCTCGGATTTTTAGTTTGATGTTGCTACTTTAGTGGACAAAATTCCTTTCTGCTTTACTAATATTATACCCCTTACACCCCCAACCTCATTCTCCCACCATTGCCAACGATAAAAGCCATCGGAACCTCATTCCTAGTCTCTTCAGACCCCACCATTGACTTCGTGTATGGGCTTTTGATGTACACACTCTATACCAAACCCGACAACAAGCATCGCTCACCAGAATTCTAGAATCTTTAGCCATGAGTGTATGCTCGTATACAGGAACCGAATGTGGTGTATAAACTGACTTCACCTGACCACTGTGTTGAATCTTCAAAACTCACCCCGAGTATCCGGACATCCAGTGGTTAGCTCTTGTGGACTTGAAAGTTTAGGCATAACACTGAGTTTTAAGGCAGAAAGTGCGATTCTCAATTGGATACCAGTCAACAGTTGTTTATGTGCTGTTTGACTAAATGGATCTGTAAGAACTAGGAGGGGTTGTGAAACTAGGTGATCCCTATTCGTAATCCCCACCTATGCACCCACCGACGGCAGTTCGGATGATGCGAAGTTTGACTTTTACCAAAAGCCGTGAATTTCGCTAGTTATAATGGCATGTGACTCTCGAGTAGGGAAGTTGAGCCAATCAGAAGGACATCTTGGGGCATTTACAGAATCCCATCCCAATGAAGCGACAACGTTACAATTTTGTTCTGACAGTGACCTGTTTCTGACCAGCATTAGCTTTATGTATAAGGAAAGACACTGTCTCACGTAGCATCCGCTGACTTGAAACCTGCGGTTGACATGGATAAGCTATTAGCTATCGTGGGAGGATTGCGGCTCTTTCTGGAGTACTAGTATTTCCTCCTATCACGCGCTAGTATGGTCTCGTGCATGCCTGCGCATTACTGGTTGCAGGAAACAGGGGATAGTAGAGTTTGTGTATGGTTAATTGGGGAATAAGGAGGTCAAGTGCACATTTACGGAAGAGATAGCTAAGCATTTATCTGAACGTGACAAATGCTCTTCCTGAAAAAAACCCGGTCTGATCTTAAGTCCGCTGTAGAAACACCGGTAAAGACAATTGGTAACCCACACGTGAAAGTTAGCAAACGTCATTGGATTTCCGTGGTGTCATCAGGACTGATTAATGAGTGAAGACTGATTCCAGCTGTTCCTGACCGCGATGAAAGGCGAAAGCAGCTCAAATATAAATTGACCAAAAGTCTTCGCGTTGATCCCGAGCAGTGATGGGTGACAAAAGCGAAAGAGATGGAAAAAGCATCAGCGTTGGGTGAAACCCAGGATTTATTAAGGCTTAATAAGGATGCCGGTAAGAAGACGATGGCGAGTGTAACCTTCATTGTCCCAGGAAAGACGAACAGAACACTTTAAAGCTCACTTCAACTGACCCCCAGCAACGCTTCAGTGGCTCAACATCTATCCCAAACCTGAATAGTACGTAAATGTTAGTCCTCCAACTCTCCTTGAGGTTGAGAAAGCTGTATCAAACCTGAAACAATGCAAAACAGCCGAACGTGACAGTTTGCTATCTGAAGTTTTCAAGGATGGAGGTAGGAAATTACTGCTTAAAGTGATGGAGGTACTGGTTCGTATATGGCAATCGCAGGTAGTGATATCAGACTGGTCTATAAGAAAAAAGAGAAGTCTTCCAGTGATAGTCATAAGGGGATTAGTTTAACTAATATTGTATACAAGATCCTAGGACCCATAGTTATCCGACGCCCAAGTGGCGCTCGGGAAGTGCAGACTCGAGAAAACTAGGCAAGAAAACTTGGGCAAGGATGCATCGATCATATTTTTGCTCTCCGACGGGTTGTAGAATACAGACACAGACCGGCGGCAGACACTTGCCATATTTCTTGACATGGAGGCGGGATTTGACTCTGTCGACTATGAGGTGTTATGGCAATCTCCGACTGTAAAGGGAGTAGTGAGCACGTACATAAACCAATCAAAGCTTTCTGCTCGAACTCACGCAGCCCTGTAGGGGTTTATGAAGAGTTGTTATGTAAACTGATGACAACTAGTAGTGTTCGCCAGAGATGTCCACTATAACTTCGTTGTAGATGTACTGATGAACATAACCCTAGGTGGGTCTGACTTCACAGTGATTGATCTATTTCCTAAAGGCCATCTAGTTGGCTTAGAGTATGCAGACGATATTGTCCTGCTAAATGAAGATGCTGACAAAATGCAGGGTCTTTTGCACCCGTTGAGCAGAAATCTGAGTGTGTTTTGCATCCATCTTGAACCTGTCAAATTTAAGATGATGCGCCTGGACTGATCAACTACTCTCAGTCTAAGGATAAACAGTAAAGTAGTAGAATGCACTGATCACTTCACTTATGTGGGAATTTGTCAACCGGGACACAAAAAGTTTGTTTGGCATTTGCTAACTTGCGTCATCTATGGCGCTGACTGAACAGACATGCGACTACCTATCAAAGGATGAGTAAACTTCACTGCTGCAGTCCGTTTGTCTTGTTATATGGCTGTACGACATGGTCGTTGAAACTAGAGTACATGAAGCGATCACAGGGTTTTGATCACAGATGTCATCGTATCATTGTTCGCCTTTGGTGGAATCACTATCTGAGCAATTTTGAGGTCCTAACCAAGACAGGTGAGTTGATAGATGTTGTAAACCTTCATCGGCTAAGACGGCTTGGACATGTACTGCGTATGCCAAGCCACCGCCTACCTTGACAAGCAAAGCTAGAGAAGGCTGGATTAGGTTAAAAAGGGGTTCAGGGTAGTCTCACCAAGACCTATAACTAATCTATGAAGTTCCTAACTGTTGGTTTGAGCTGTGTCGGGGGATGCAGAATGCCTTGTTGGGGTCTCTCTGAGACGAAAGGAATCAATGGTTAAGGACACTTGGTGACATGCCTGAAAATAGGTGACAGTGACGCAAATCTACTCTATCTTTGACGTCTTCTAAAGCTCCAATATTTGCATTAACTTATTTCCAAATTGTTTATTCTCTCACACAACTTCTTCCCCTTTGGTATGACTCTTATTCTGCTCACCTGTTCTTAGTATGCTACTGTGAAGTGTGGTGACTTCAACCTATGTGCGAGGTTCTACCTTGATTCTGTTTGTCTGCTTTCGTATGTAAGGCCTTATAGGCGATAGTTTTTCAACTGAAAAGTTATTGATCTTTGTAATTTGTATATTAAGTAAGTGACAGAGATATTAATAAGAATGATGAACATTTTGAAATTTTTATTTATGTTTAGGTGTTTGAAGTTGTAGATATTATACTATATTAGTCTAAGACTAGGATAGGTTAGATGTAAATAAGTGTATTACAGATGGTTAAAATCAGTGGACTAAGTAAAGTGAGGATTAGGGGAGTCGGATCTGCGTATGATTCAGTGTCTTTAACATATCACCATAGTATTTAAAGGTTCTGCATAGAAACTCAAGTGACAAACCAATTCTGTATAGCTGTACTTTGGTAGACAGACGTTTTCAAGCTGTATTTGTGACCACTCATAAACTTTAAGAAGTGAGAAGGTGATAACTGATCGATTGTATACTGGAAAAACTGATATGTTCATTACTTACTAGTGAACATCTGCTAAAGTTAATTTCCAGACATCATACTTTTAGAACGACCAACTTATTCATCCATGTTCGTTTTTAATGCGTCATCATCACGCATTGACTTCAATATCTTTACAGCATTGGCAAAAATCAGTGCTGGAAGCTTTTCTGATAGTTCAGTGACAAAGTTGGAAAAGAGGTGGGTTTAGACGGCTCACTCCGGGACCCAACTAGTCACAAGTTGCAGTTTGGGTGGTTTCTAACCTTTCATTTCCTGCCACAAAGGAATTACCTAATCCAAGTCAGTATCTTGGTGTTAAAGCTATGACTAGTGGGATTCCTCACTAATTACATTTTTGAAACTTTGTTCGAAGCCATATTGAAGTCAAAAAATGTAACATCCACGATCCGTCTGTTGTCTCGAGCTGCGACCCATTTCTTTCCCTATCTCTGTGTCTATGAGGTTGGTTAGATAGAAGCAGACATCATGAAACGCGTATAGTGTGATGTTATGTTGACAGTTATTTAGACTTTTCAAGGAAGCCGGGGCAAAAGTCAGTGCATGAAAGATACCCATCAGGGCATGAAAGTTAGTGAATCGATGGCAGAGAAGGCTGGGCCTACGACTTACTCGCAGGAGAAGTAACTGAAAAGACATGCCAAACACTTTGATGAGCAACTCAGCTGGCCTCTAACTACTGTTCAGTTGTCCGTTATCAAGTCGGATCCTGAGTGGAACCTCGGCCAATAGTTGCTACCTAGATGTGTTGGTCGGGTTTGCAAATCACATTGGCAACGAGTTATGCTGGTGGAACCTTTGTTCTTTCAAGTTCCTATCATATCAGAAACAGTTGAATAATGGTAAGACAAAAGGCAGTTAAAGTTATAGTGTGCATTGATACCCAATGCTGGGGTCCAAGGGCGAATTTGTATTGCTGGTTAGACGCGTGTGATAGCAGTAAGGTGTTTTCCGTAGCTGACCAACACTGCGACGCTGATGCTGCCTTCCCTATGAGAAGGAAGAAGGTTGGAGGAGGTCGGTCCCAAAAATAGCGCGATCCCTTTTACTTCGTAGCATACTTGTGTTGGTGTTACAAGTTCATAATAGGATTTGCAAACGACAAACTTATACAAAGACTATATGTAACCGGCCTTAACTAGATGTCTTTTGGGTTTTGTGGTCACTTACTAACCCTTCTTTTTCAAGTACCTCAAAGAGAACTAGCTTTTCATAGAATGAGCAGCCGGGAAGTGTCAAGCCATCTCAGCTCTGTCGGCAACTCACTTTCCCTCAGACCACTAATCCACCTTCCGCATTCCTAACTTCTAATCTTCCTTCACGTCTCTCAGTGAATATTCCTACATTATCTTTAATTTCTTCCAGCTCTTCACAACAATCTCACCTTCCAGTGTTTGCACTGCCCGTCAAATTGGCCAACCAGCTTCGCCTGCCAAAACCATAGTATCTCGGTTCATGAAGACGTGCTGTGTTTCTGAGGCACACATACCGGACCCGATTGTGGTTACCCATTCAACCTCACCTGGTCAATAGGGTGAAGCCGAGAATTTTATCCTTCGAATTTCTAGAGATCCGAAGACCAATTCTCGTAGTCCGACATATATACGCAGATGTAGTATTGATTCGTAGGACATAAAGTTGCCTGCTTAACTTGATCCCAGTCGACAATCGCCTGTGAGTTATTTGACTGAAAAATGCTATGTAAACTAAAAAGAATAGCGAAACTTCGTGTTGTTTTTCTGCAATCTCTGATTACACACTCACTGACTGCAGTTCGAGTAAGGTGAAGAATGAGTTCTACCGAAAACTGTCTAGCCTCTTTCTGAAAACCACACCTTCAGACGTTGTAGCTTCAACATGTGATATTAATGCACAAGTAGACAGGCTAAATCAGATGGACAGAAAGGAACTTAGATGACACTTTTGAAATCCCAGTAAAAAAAAACAGAGGCGATCACCCACTGCAACTGTGCTCAGACAACCATCTATTCTGACGACCAAGAACTGCAAAAGTAAAGCGAGACATTTCCTGACGTGGCGTACACCGATTAGTGGACATATTGTTAACTTGCGTCATCTACGGTGGCGACGGGCGAGATATCTATCTATCAAAGGACGAGTATACCACGCTGCAGTTCGTTCAGTCCTTTTATACGGCTGTGAAACATGGTCGTTGAAAGTAGATATGATAAATATCTTTCTAGTATTGCCTACATATAGTGGAATGATACTGTAAGGAGTGTTGAGGTTAAATGAAAGGTACTAAGCAAGACAGGCAAGCCGGTCGATGAGCTTCGGAACCTTCAGTGACTTTGGTGACTTGGACATGTGTTACGCTTCCTGAGCCCACTGGTTGTCTTGACGTGCAATGCTGCGGGAGTTCGCGTTAGGCTGAAAGAGGGCTCTCGGTTTGCAGACCAAGACATGGTACTTGTACATGATGTCTGTAACTGTCGGTGTGAGCCGTGTAGGGAGTTTTTAGAGTTGTAGTTCACCGATCTAGACACTTAGTCTTTGGTCAGTTGGTCACGTGTTCGAACACCGCTCCGCCTACCAAGGTTTAGGTAGCCAGGCTCATTGTCTACTTCAAGAATGTACACAAAGTTACCAATTAGTTTTTACTCATAATAGGTGTAAAGAGGTATAGGCTGTTTGCTTGGTATCCATGAGACGATAAGAAATCAATGGTTGAATGATTCTTCATGGTATACTTGAGAATTGGTGCAGATGTATTCATTTTTTAACGTCTTTCAAAGATTGCATGTTCTGACCAACCTTTATTCTTAAATTCCTCTCATATACTATACACCTTTGCCTACTTTGATATCATTGCTTTCTTTACTCACTTGTTTTATACATAGTACTATGAAGTATAATAATTTGAGGTTCTAGATTGATTTTAAATCTTCAAAATTAACATGTATATAAATATATATTAGAATGATGAGTTGACTTTTAACTCAAGTATGTGAAGCAATTTTTTAATGAGCTTTTGAAATGTCATTATATACTGACTAAGTTTTTCCTTCTCATCTTTAGATGTTTACACGTACTATATTGTAGTTAAATATTGCATATAGAGAAATAAATATCTTCATTATTGCCTATTTTTGCAATGCTTAATGGGTAATACTATTGCTCCAAGGCTGGAAAACGCTGAGAAAACTGGTGTTTTACAAGTTAGCAATTTGAAGTTAAAAAAGGTTTAAATTTCAATAATCATTTATAATTATTTTATGTTAAAAAAAAATCAATAGATTCCTGAACATGTAAAGCACTTACATAATCTTCGTAGTTTAGATGTATCTAAGAATAAAATTGAAATAATCGATGCTTGGATCTCTGTGTTGAAAAATCTCAAAGTTTTAAATGTTGAAAGTAATAAATTAAGTGAGTTTACTTTTATGCAAAGTTCTAGGTTGTTGATCTTTTTATGTCTATCTGAGTTTTAATGCTTATTTGTTTACTTGGCATAGTATCATTTTCACTATAACTGCCAGTCTATTCATTGTATTAACTAACCAGATAACAAGGTAACCAATAAATGAAAAGCAAAGAAAATATGTTTAAAAAAATATAAGTTACTCATGAGTAGTTTATATAAACTATGATCAAGATTTGATCGTATAGTACGGCATATATTGGGCGCTGAGTAAAAGGTTGATATTAGACATAGATTATATCTGTTTAAGTCACATCGGGTATTGAAATCAAATAATTCTAACGTTGTTTCGTACAGAAGTCTGGTTCGAGCTTCTTCAGGGAAATAATCATAATTAAAAGTATCAAGGATATAGGCAAATGAATTCAAAAAAACGTGTATTTAATCTCCTTGTTCAATCCTCTTCGTATAGTCATTGTCTTCTTAAATTATGATAACTAATCATTCAGTGTGAACTTGTATATCTTTTGTTGTATGGCATATGAATATGCGTATCCCAATTCATATTCGTCTTGATTGTAAATATCAGACAAAAAGGACACTGGTGACAGTCATTCGGTAATTTTTTTCTATAAGTACAAATTGAAAAGGATGAGGTGAATGTGTATACAATGTCAGTTGAAGTGAAGTGGTGAATAGTGTTAGCGAATTCTCTTCGTATTGATTAACCGAAACAGTGGTAATCATAATAATGAATTAGATCAGTGCAGGTTGTGTTATTGTTGATGCAGAAATAATGGAGTAAGTGCCAAGAGGTGTAGCTAACTGTACTCCATCTCGTCTGTTCAAACTGTTTGGATTCACCCATATATGTAGAGCCTCGGCTGTCAGTCTTTCTTGGTATGAATGAAAACCTTTTTGTAGAACCTTAGTCCCATCAAAGTCGATTTTGTGTCCCATTTCTACGGAGTGTAGCGCCATCGCGGATTCGTTTTCTAGTTTCTTAACCTCTGCTGAGGTTTCTGGGATCTGCTTTAAGCATAGTTTATGCTCATTGACTCTCATATTTACCTGTCTGGCTGTTTCCCCTACATATACTGCAGTACAATCTCCGCATTTGATTTTGTAGACACAGTTCTGTTGATTTTCTTTAGGTACTACATCTTTATTTTTCATTAAGTTAGAAGGTAGGGTATTTGTTGCACGGAAGTAAACGCTTATGTTGTGTTTGTTGAGAATCCTTCTTAGCTCTTCTGAATTCTCTTTTCGGTATGGGATTATTACCATGCTTGTCCAATTCTTCGGAGGGATTTTCGTGACATCCTTTATAATACGTCTAATGAAACCTTTGGGATAATTGTTTGCTTCCAGTGTGCGTCAAATTAACTTTAACGCTTCTTTTTTATCCTCTTTCGTCGTAACAAGACGGTTAGTCCTGGTAATCAGATTCCGTGCAACAGTTTCCTTAGTAGTCAAAGGATGTGCATACTGATAATTGAGTTATCTGTCAGAATGTGTTGCTTTTCTTAAAATCCTATCTTTCCACTATAAAGTCCATAAAGTTTAATTTCGACAAGCTGTTGAATCCAACTTGCCTTGATAGAAGTGAAACTTCGCCATACATTATTTATGTGACAGAAGAGTTCATCCAGACTGTTTCGCTAGATGATGACAAACGTATCGTCAACGTACCTTAAACAAATTCTTGGAGGTGTAGAGCAATTTGAGTAGTTTACTCAATAACACTAAATAGATATTACAAACCTAGGTAACAGCCGAGCTATAGACGCCCAATTACATTCAGAATAGGACCCTTCAAGTCACGTATTCATTTTGACTTTAATTATAACTTAATTTTGTTTTGTTTTAAATTCTTGGTTGGCTAGGTACGCATACACTGTAAAGGTATACATTTTTAAAGCTTTGTTGTCCTGTGTTACTGTGACTGAAGCTTTCTTTGTGTCATCGTTTGCTTGTGTGTGTGCGTGTGCGTGTGTGTGTCTAGTGGAACCACCGTATGAAGGATGTGAAGATTATATATAGAGTATTGTGTGAGAGTAGCAAGTTCAATGATTAATTGATCGGCAGAAAATAACACACAAGATTTTTCTCAGCGTGTTATGCACTGTCTAAACCAGATCTTATTCAACTTATGTAGCCAGATAATAAAATGCAGGCTGAATGTATATCAATCCATGATGAATACTTACTTGAAAGTATTAACGTTTTTAAAAAAGATGTTTAGCAGTCAGAGTTTGAGGATACATGTTAGGGATGCCTATATCTCCTCTATTCCATACTTGTGTATACTTGAACTGGTTTATTCACGCTGTTTTCCCCTTACATAGGTCATATTTCGTATGAACCGCTATTCTTATGATTGGTTCCTGGCTCTTTAAATGTACTAATTATTTTTTTTGTCTTTCAAGGTTACTGTAAATTCTGTAAGTAGGGTCCGTTTTCACTCATAAGCGTTTTCAGTCCGAGATAATTATTATATTATTTTTCCCTTGGGTTCCTAGTGAAACATACGACTTCAGTGGCACGTCTCCAGTGAACTCTATTCTCTACAATCTTTTGAACCTAACTCCATGACTGCCCATGAACTTTCATTTCTTCTTCACATCATCTCCTCTATGTCACCCTCACCTTGGATGCCCAACTCGTCGCTTCCCATCTGGGTTCCACTCCACGGCCTCGCCTGATGCGTGATGTCCCAGTCGGCCTTCTCAGTACATGCCCAATCCATTTCCACTTCCACTTCCTTCTGCATATTTGTTGGGTGATAGGTTCTTGGTTGGTTGGTTTCCAACCAGCCAGCCAGAGTTCCTTGTTGATTATTCTTATTATTCTGGCCATCTGATCTGAGCTTCAGTAATAAGCCAGGGTAGGCAGTTGTTGATGAATGTGTGTAGTTTGTTGGAAATGCCTTTCGTAACGCGCCATGTCTCCCAACCATCACATAGAAGTACTGACTGGCTTGACTGGATTGGTGTTGAAAATCGGGATGTTGTTCAGGCTTTATGCTGAGTGCAGTGCAGTGCAGAAGATCTCCACACTGGTTTCAGATTAATGAATGCCTGTCTTGCTGTGTTTCCGATTCTGGCTGGCTTTGACATCCTCGTCTGTGCCTGTGCCGCAACCCTGTAGTTGAAACGATGCTACCTTGCCTAGATAGGTGAAAGAGGCTACTTCCTCTAAGTTTCACCTCTGTCTCCTCTATGTTCACTTGTAGTCCCGTCTTCGCTGCCTCTTCTGTCAACTAGGTCGCTTTTGCATGTAGATCTTCGAGTTTGTGCGACATAAGACACAAGTCATTATCGGTAAAATCCAAATCTTCTAGAATCTTTTCCCCAGTCTACCGTATGCCCCTCTTCTCGCTCCTCACTGTTTGTTGCATGATCCAGTCCACCACAATCAGGAAGATCATGGGTGGTAGTAGGTGGCAACCTTGTCTTTCTCCCCTGTCTTCACTTCAAAGGCATCACTGAGCTTTTCATTGTAAATCAATTTGCATATGGCGTCTTCATATAGGTGTTGTTGATTGAGGCTGATAAAGGTTTGTGGTATTCCAGATATAAATGCATCATCTATCTTATCCATTGATGATGATGTTGATTGTTTGTTTCTACTGTTCATTTTTATTTTCTATTCAACAGAATATCTTCCTGAACAAATCTATTTACTGACAAAATTAGAATCAATAAATGCAAATAATAATCTTTTAATTCATTTTATCACACCTGGTGCTATTGTCAATTTGACTGATCTTTCCTGCCTACGTACAGTTAGTCTAGCTAATAATTATCTAACTCAATTCCCTGTGGAACTTTGTCTTAAATCAATACCTATCAATGTAATCGATTTATCAAATAATCAGATAACTATAATACCTAATGCTGTATCATCATTACAGGTAAAGTTAATATTGATACCAGATTATTGTTTTTTTTTGTATATTAATGGTGGATAGTGGCTAGCAGTGGCGTCTAGGATGCACGTTTCGTCCCACTTGGGACTCGTCAGCTAGATATATATCTGCCCCCCTAGTGAGTAATGTTGTTCCCACTGGGATTTAAACTCGGGACCAATCGTTTCAAACGCCAGGCCGTTATCTACTAGATCACCGAGTCACGATAGCCACTTCTTGTACGACAGGTATAGTTTTTATGTTGTTGCTTGCATTATCTCGTATTGACCTGTCTCTATTGGCATATGGGCTACTGAGCGGATGCCTTGATATTGCCTGTTTTTAATTATATATATTAATGATAGATAGTGGCTAGCAGTGAAATCCAGGATACGCGTTTCTTCGGGATAATACAAGCAACAACACTAATATTGTTGTTTTTCAAAAAAAATATATTGATAATAGGTGAGGATTGAAGGTGAAATGAAAATCTGGACAGCGGTAGGATTCAAACCAGCGACCAACGAGTTATATCGACTTGATACTGTATCAACTGACCTAGGAAACTTGATTGCTGACTATATCTTGATTTCATTCCAATCACCAAGAGTTTTGCCTATCTGCTTTAAATATATGAATTATTATTATTTGTCCCTTGGGTTCCTAGTGGAACATAGAGCTTCACTAGCACGTCTCCATTCCACTCTCTTCTCTGCAATCGTTTAAATCTAGCTCCACGACTGCCCAGAAGCTCTCATTTCTTCGTCACATCATCTCATCCATATCACCCTCACCTCGGATGCCCAACTCGTCGGTTCCCATCTGGGTTCCACTCGAGTGCCTGGATCAGCGCGTGATGTCCCCACACCGTCTTCTCTGCATATTTGTTGAGCGATAGGTTGTTGGTTGGTTCGTTGCCAGCTACTCAGAGTTCCTTGTTGCTTATTCTTATTATTCTGGCCATCTGAGCTTCAGTTGATGATGAATATCTGTAGTTTGCTGGAAATGCTTTTCGTAACGCGCCGTCTCTGAGCCATCACGTAGAAGCACTGACTTGACTGGATTGGTGTTGAAAATCTGGATGTTGTTCACACTTTATGCTGAGTGCAGTGCAGAAGATCTCCACACTGATTTCAGGTTAATGAAGGCCTGTTTTGCTGTATTTCCGATCCTGGCTTTGACGTCTTCATCTGTGCCGCCTGTAGTTGTGTAAATTATACAATATAGATAATTTACACAATTCGTCTTAAATATTTCCTGACAAAATGGCTTGGTGTTCTCTTCTGAGCTTAATTATTCTGTCATAAAGATATCAAAACATTTAATGGTGAAATGTTCACAGCCTAAGTATCAAAGCTCAAAGAATATTAAATCATCGTTATCTTCATACTGAGTAACGCAGAGGTCAGGCGTACAGTTTTAGGGAGAAGAGATAAGTTAGTTGGTGCAGTTGTGAACCTTCATCGACTGAGATAGCTGGCTAGGACATGTGCTACGTATGCCTAGTCACTGTCTGTCTCATCACACAGTGTTAGCCGAAGTAGGTTCAGACTGGAAAAAAGCTCGAGGCGGCCAGACTAAAACATTGTATGATCGATAAATGCCACGTAGTAATACGAACCTAACGCATAAGGAATCTACTCTATTCGCTAATCAGAAGGTCAACCACTATCACAACAATACTACCACCGGCATGCGAAGACAAGACATGGGTCGTTGGCAGAGAGCTTTTTGATATCTGAACAACCGTCAAAACAGTTGAGAGCGATGCTGAATTCATACATTGTAAACGAGCTTGAAAAACTTGAAATTCGCTGACAAGCTAAAAGAGTTGATAACCAATCAGGGTTCAGCCTTCAGAAGGAGTTGGAAAAACAAAAGTCTCCATTGTTGACTTGACTGAATTGATTGGACTTGTGTGCAGATGCCTCGATACTGCTGGTCTGTTCAATCTTGATAATGGATATTGGCTACCAGTAGAATCCAGGACGCCCTAGCATCTGAAGCGATGGGTACTGCGTTCGAGTCTGTGTGGGAACAACACTCACTAGGGGGATAGGTATATTTACCTAATGAGTCCAAAATAAGACGAGACACAAGTCCTGAGATCCACACTAATAGCCACTCTTTTCATCAATAATATCAAGTATTACCGTATATTTGTTAATAAACCAGATATAGAAGGAAAAGCCCGTTGTTTACTTTAACAAAACTGTATATGGCGCCTTTTTATCTCATGAATTCCCTTCAGTTATATACAGCCTTTTAGAAAACTTTTAATAAATGAAGAGAAGGAACTACGATGGAGAATATTTGTAGCTTACAACAAAGTAGACTACTACTGAACAACTAGTCTGTAGTATTCCGCCATCCATATCAACATAATCTAAGCACCTGACAGCCGTTTTGCTCGTTCGAGGCTAAGCTCTTCAGTGGTATACCTGGAATAATTTGCACGGTTCATGTAGATATCCAAAAGGTTATGATCTTGACTGACGATCAGTTCCCAGCGGAAAGCCTGTTGACAACATAACTGGGTAGTCGAAAAATAAGTCAGTTGTAAATCATTTACAAGTTGATTATCCTACATTAATATGATTGAGTATACGAGAAGGATTTCAAAAACACTAATTAGCTTGTCAGTGAGACTATCTAAAATAACACTGGCTTAGTAGCCTGGTGATTATTCTCACAGGGTGATTATTGAAGCGAAATGACGACTTAAATTGTGGAATCACTAACCTCTGGATCACTAGTTCGTTGTTCTATCAGCTGAGTTATGAGACCGAGCTTTACTTGGATCATCGCAGATTTCACCTGTCTGTCATATGAATGCGTTCTATCAAAAAGATTTTCTCGTTTCAATTAAAATCAAGTTGAATTAGAGATGGGCAGCATTGTATTCATTGTACTAATAATGCTTTCTGAGATAGATACTACTCTATTCAGTAGTAATATTGTAATCAGTAAAAAAGATAAGGAAATTAAGTAGATTGATTGTAAAATGCATAAACAGATTTTTTAAGCGCTTCCACTGTAGTGGGCACTTATCATCAGAATGGATCTAAGTAGTATATGTTGAAAGGGTGGCAGAAATCATAGGCAATTACCAGCAATATGCAAAGATTCTGCCAAGAGAAACGCAATAGACAATGTGGGCAAATCAACCTAGAAGCAGATGAGGAAATGAAGCGAATTATGCAAATGATTATCTTAGTGGAAGGTGTACCATATTTGATGACTACTGTACAAGATGTCAATAATAAACATTCCTTCCTTCGTCTCTGTCTTGTCGTTTTCTGTGGATGTAATGGGATCATTTCCGCAGACATCTAGTGGCAACCAACATTTGTTGGTGATGATGAAGCATGCTACACGATTGGTAGACACTGTCACAATTCCTGATCAATGTGTGAAGACTGTAGCGGTGATGCAGCATATTGTCGCAGATCAAGGTGTGCCGAAGGTGATAATGACCTACCAAGGTCCTTGTTTTCAGAGTGAAGAATTCAAATCCTGTTTGGAGCGGCTCGGTATCAAGAGGATAAGAACGACACCGTATAACCTACAAACTAACGGGCTGGCAGAATGTATAACCGTACATTTAAGGCGTGGTTGGCTTCGAAAGGAAGGAACTGGGAGACGGAACTGCTGTCAATATTATTGGCGCCTCGTGCCTCGGTACAAGGAACAACCAAGAAGTCGTTGTTCTAGTTAACGTATGGCAGGAAACCACATCTCTTAATAAATAGTAAGATCTGACCCAAACAGCAGTCGTGGAACATGACAAAACTGAGAAAGGAGGGGAAACAGGCAACCAGAAATGTGAAAGAGAAACAGAAAGCTGAGGCTGACAAATCTGAGTAGAGAGAAGGAAGTGAATGGAAACCGTTTGAAGTCAGAGATCAAGTGTAATGTAGAAAACGAGAATGTACTTCAAGAGGTGGATATGGTAGAAGGGAACTACTCCCAAAGTGGGAAGAACTATACATCGTTACCGAGAAGCGCAGTCTGGTTTATACCATCAAAAAAGGGGACAAAGAGAAAAGAGTAAACGCCAGCCTACTTCAAGAATGGAGACAGTGGGAAAAAGAAGAAACATTGCATGAACACCAAGAGAAGACAGCACCAAGACGATCAACACAGCTGCAAGACATACATTTTGATGGGGGGACGAGTGTAGTGGGCGTTGCTGATAAGAATCGATATAAGTAGTATATGTTGAGAGGGCGGCAGAAATTATAGGAAATCATCAGCAATGGGTAAGGATTCCGCCCAGAGAAACGCAATAGACAACGTGGGCGTTATTAGGAGCAAATCAAGGTAGAAGCAAAAGAGGAAATGAAGCACATTCTAATATGCATCTATCTCTCTGTTCTTTCGATGTATTTGCTTATGTACGTTTACATAGTGAATTGACAGATACACTTGACGGTAACAAGCTTGGAAAATCTCTTTACTTTGAACTGCTTAATGAAGTTCATGATTTAATGCACTGGGATCATAGTAGCTCTATCTATAGTCATTGCGCTTTTAACCCTTCTTATAATGCTCTTAGCAATATCGTCTGCGGAACAGGCTGGATTCAGGAAATACAAATCATGTGCGCATCAAATTGCAATGCAACACTACACATCATCATAAAACAGAGCATACAATGCCAGTCAACCTCGATTTCATGGATTTTGAAAAGACATTCGATAGCGTCGATCGAGAAGTAATTTGGCAGGCAGCTGCTTCCACACTACGGTCTTAGTGGCACAAACCTTTATCAATCTCATTCAACAGCTAGATGCTATGCTATATAATGCTACATGGAAAGTGATTGACAATGGAAGTTCAGGGATGCCGTTGAAGTGAAGACAGGTAAGACAAGGCTGCCGCCTACTGTCACCGATCGTCTTCCTGATTGTGGTTGACTGAATCATGCAAGAAACCGTGAGGAGCTCTGAGAAGATGGGCATACGCCGTTTGACTGATGCGATGAAAAGATCCCAGAAGAAGATTTGGATTTCGACAACAATGATGATGATTTATGTCTAATGTCTTGTCGCACAAACTCGAAGATCTACAGGCAAGAGCCAACAAGTTGACAGAAGAGGCTAGGCAGTGAACGTAGAGAAGACAGAGGTAGAAGTGATGAAGATACCCAACCACCACTACCATAACAACAAGCACCAATCACCGTGAATGGGAGAAATGTGAAGGAAGTTGTCTGTTTCACTTACCTATCTGCGTAGGCAGCATCGTTTCAACTACAGGCGGAGGCGGAGGCACAGATGAGGTGTGAAAGGCAGGCAGTATCGCAGAGACAGCAAGACAGGCCTTCATTAATCTGAGATAATCAGTGTGGAGATCTACTGCACTGCACTCAGCATAAAGGGTGAAGGTGATCCGGATTTTCAACACTAATTCAGTGAAGTCGGTCAGTGCTTGTATGTGATGGTTGGGAGACTAGGTGCGTAACACGAAAAGCATTTCCAACAAACAGCTGCCTGCCCTCGATACTGGAGATCAGATGCCCAAAACAATAAGAATAAACAACAAGGAACTCTGGGAACGAACCAACCAAGAACTCATCACCCAACAAATATACAGAAGAAAATGGAGATCGATTGAATTGGACATAGACTGAGAAGACCATTTGGGGATATGCTGTAAACCAGGTCATCGTGTGATAAAGAAATGAAAGTTTCTAGGCAATGGTGGAGCCAAGTTGAATAGATTGCAGAGAAGAGAGTGAAATAGAGATGTGCTATTGTAGCCCTATGTTCCACTAGGAACTCAAAGGACAAATAATAATAATAATGATAAGTATGGCCTCTCTTAAAGGCTAATAAATTATTCAAATCAATACTTTGATGTAACTTAAAGCAGGTACTCTTCAATTTTGACTTCATATTGTCGTACACATAAGCGAAATTTGTATAATTCTTAAATTCACACTATATTATATATTATGATTTTTCACTGTTAGAGATATCAAACATCTCATTTATTTAGCACAACTTATTATCAAACATGAAGGTGTCATCGACAGATAAAAAAAAGTGAATATATATTGATTTCTTACTTTAGAGTAGTTTTTCCCAAAAATGATATATCTCCCATTATATAGATAGACCTAATAAATTGCCTGCCAGTGAAGCTATTGCATCAGCATACAAGTAAGAGAGATGCTTCATTTCCTTCTGATGGTAAGAGTATGTCATCCATGGTACTAGCTAAATGATATTTAACATTTCTTTAAATATACATTATACTACTGACTGACTGAATAGGTGATAAATTCTCCGGATAAGTTTGCTTTATATTATTTAAGATATTGACATGAAAGTTGTATAATTTTTGTATAAAATTACCGTATAAGTTTTTAACAGGAAGTAATCAATCAGTCAATATCAATATAGGCAGTGACCGGGGCATTACTTCATAAAAATCTGAATGTTACCGTACCTCATATGATTACATGAAGTAACAAGACAATAAAATGAAAGATGAAGAAGAAAAAACAAAAACAATAATCAAAATTAGTAAAAGAAAGGATAGGGTGGTGAGAAGAAATGCTGAATTTAGTACAGCGCCACTGTCATCGACTCAGAGCTGTGCTACTTAGAGTCTCCAACCACTGGTTTCTGTTGTCATGTAGACCACAACCAGTCAGTTTACACTTGGTAATATGACTCAAATCAACAGTGATGCGAAGTGTCATTCAGTCTAGTCACTTTGAGCCTTTTTCCAACTTAAACCTACTTCAACTAACATCGCGCAACAAGGCAGACAATGACTAGGCGTGTGTAACACATGTCCTAGCTGATGAAGGTTCATAACCGCATCAACTGACTTTCCTCTTCTCCGTAAAACTCTTCATCTAACTTCTATGTTACCAATATGATAACACCATGTAGGGACGACCTATGCTGCGAAAGCCACGCTTCACAGTCATACAGTAGAACAAAGCGAACTGCAGGACAGTACACTTGACCCTCAGTTGACAATCGGATAACGCATCAGCGTCATAGATGGCGTAATTAGGCCAAAGCCTTTTTTTATATCTGTACAAAGATTTTGTCGACCAGTGACCAATGCACCAAGGCTGATCTGACTTCCCAAGTAAGAGAAGTGGTCAACGCGTTCAACCATTTCAATCCATATTGTTGGACAAGGCACAGTTGAATACCAGTACACTGGGGCAACAGTTTACATTTACGAGGCGAAAAATGCAGCCTAAACACCCCGAAATTACCACTCAACGTATTCAGTAGACTTGTCAGCATCTTCACCTAATAGGACTGTGTCCCTTGGGTATTCTAGATCTAGTGAGGATTCTCCTGTGACTAGATTAATCCCTGTGATGTCAAATAACGATAAGGAGATCCGCATACAAACGTCTATGACAAGAATGGACAGAGTCAGAAGAAAAGAAACTTGAATGCTGACAGAGTTGTGAGGGCGGTTGACACTTCCAGCCTGCCCACACCGTGGAAGGCTATTTCTTAAGGTGCCTGAAAGAGATTTGTGTGACCGCACAGCCCATCGGTGAGGCCTGTTACACTCAGCCTTTCGAGTATGATTATTTTGAACTTTTGTATTTTTAGGGCCAGATTGTCGAAAGGAAACGACAAGTGAACCAACACCGCCGGCCCGGCAGACCGTGGGGCATGGTGGAGTGTATTATTTTGGGGGCCGACCTTTTCTAACCCTCCCTTCCACTGAGAAGGCAGCATCAGCATAGCACTGCTGGTCACCTTACTGCTGTCACACCCCATCCAGCTAGCAGCAGTACGACTTCGCCCTTAGACCCGTATCATAGTGTAGCAATTTACACTATAACGGTAACTGTTTTTCGTCTAACCACTATCCAACAGACCTTTCTGGTATGGTAGGACCTCGAGGAAAGAAGCGTTCCACCAGCATAGCTTGTTGGGTCATTGTGATATGCAAGCCCGATTACCACGTCAAAGTAGCAGCTATCGGTCGGCGACAGAGTGAATAAGAAGAAATAATTGACCATAAATAAAACCTATGACATTGTAAGGTCTATTTCTGTGTAAAGATGAAATTTTTTTTCTTTTAAACGAAAATCAATTGAAAATGTAGCCTTTGTTTTCTCCCTCTCTATTTCATTTAGGCAATTGAAATCAATTTAAATCATAATCGTATCTCAGTTATATCTAACAATATTGCACAATGTGAACGATTAAAAGTATTACGCTTAGAGAATAATTGTCTACGATTAGAGAATATTCCATGTGAATTATTAAGAAATTCACAAGTTTCATTATTATGCATTGATGGAAATCTTTTCGATATGAAAGATTTTTATAATTTACCAGATTATTCAGAGGTGAGTTGTTCTTCTACTTTCAGATTTTTATTTTACAGAGAAAATTTTCTTCAAATCGATTCTTTTTTACAGTTTGAACAAAATGCAAAAATAAACATAAAGCTCAGTTTATTTCATGACATTTCATCAGGTGCCTATAATTTAAACGAAACACATTAGTAGTAATAATAACATAAACATACAGAAATAAATGGAGATTTGAAATTCACGCTTAACAATATGACAGTGAGTAAGTGAATGAGTCAAGGAAACACAAGACTAACAGTTACATATCTTCTTAGTCAAAATCTATGACTATTTATATCTGATGAGACAGAAACCTCTGAAGCTGGAGAGTGATGAGACAAGAAATGAAAATCAGTTTGAAAGAAAGGACTGACAAAAAAGGGGGTGGGGGGTGAAAAACGAAAAAAGAATGAAGCACATCAAGACTAAAATAATCAAAGGCCAAGATAGAGACAAAGACTGTACATACTTCTTTTGCACACATAGGTCAGGCTTCAGTTTATGGATAGCCAAGTCCTTTGGTGTTTTTGGGAGGTGAACATGGAGGAAACATGAGGTGTTAGGGCAAATTCGACAGACAACCTTGAAATCCTCGTTTAGATCTGCTGAAGGGTTAGAATCCTTGAGCATTTAATCGATTCCAACCATTCAGCAGACCCAAACGAGGATTTCAAGGTTGTCTATCGAATTCGACCTAACACCTCACGTTTCCTCCGTGTTCACTTCCTCTGGTGACATAGAAGAGATGGTATGACGAGGAAATGCAAGCTTCTGGGAAGTCGTGGAGTCAGGTTAGAAAGACTGTAGAGAAGAGAGTGAAATGGTGACGTGCTACTTAAGCCCTATGTTCCACTAGTACCTCGAAGGAAAAGCAGTATAATAATATAAAGGTTGATTATTTACACTTACCTTTATCTTCAACCTGTTTATTCTCTGTTATGCCATTTTTTACTTTTTGATATCACTCCTTTGCTATCCATATGATTTTTGTTTACTACTGTGAAGTGTTGCAGCCTGGACTCTGATGCACTTGTTTGCGAGGTCCTACTCTGATCTTTTTGTTTGTCTGTAATGTATCATTACTGTAGTGTTCTTTACAATGTTTCACGTTATTTGGGATATAGGTTGATAATCTCATCCATTACTAGCTGTCACTATAATCCCGCATTTTTCACTATTGTTCTCTGTCTGCCACTCGTGGTCATATCGAACCAAGATCTCAGCAAGGCTTATGGATAATCATACTGTAGACAATTAGCCATACATATTGTGTGAGGACCAATAATACTTACTACCTGGCTGTTTAAACGTCGGTAGGCAGCATGGTGTTTGGATCTGGGATCTACTGGTTGAAAGTCAACTCCTTAAACCAGTGAGCCACAACTCTACCAACAACCCTACAAGTTCCTAATGCTCAGTGTCTTGAAGATACACCGCACATACACATATTCCTCTTTGCTTTTTATTAAATACTTAAGACTGTCAGTTAAGAAGCTTGTCAGATTACTGGAGAATTAAAGGACAATAACCTTCAGTTTCTATGTTCAATAAAAAAGGTGGTAAGATAACACAAAGTGTATTGTACAAAATATAACGGTTCATAGATATATATTTACAATGACATTGACTACTTCTAGGCCGTTTTAGGACATATCTGGCACTTACACATAAGTCCATTTGTTTTTCCTCGAAACTTCGCTGCAAAACGATTGGCCGTGAAAGGCTTCAAGGATTTAAAGCTCCCTTTTATAAGGATCTCGGCAATCAATCCTATCGCATAGTATAACAATTATCATTCATATATTCATTGGTCACGGTAGTGAAACCAATTTCATGTTGTCTAGTCCTGAGTGCAGACCAAATTCTCTCCATCATATTTGCAATATGGCAACCAAGCTAGGAAGCTCAGCATCGCGGTGCACATGAGTAAATGTTAGTTGATTGGAGGCAATCAGCAGGAAGCCCTGTCTAACCTAGGTTTCGTGCCTTTTGGCACTCATCAGCAAGGCGTATCTGCAACCTCGATGGAACTGATGTCCCGCCTGAGATTCACTTTGTTTCAAGCAACATGTATTACATAACATTTACTGTCTTCGTGTATATATATATATATATATATATTTGTCTGTTTTTATTTTAGTATATGGAGCGTTATACAGCAATGAAGAAGAAGGCATGCTGATGAGTTCACCAACTGATTACTAAACTTATCTTACAAATTATTATCATTATTATTACTATTGAAAAGTGATATCTCTTGTTTGTTTACTAAACTCTTGTTTAGTATTTATTGTATTGAACTGTTACCTTGTAAAGTACATCGGTTAGTCTCAATATGTGTATGTATAGACTGGAATCGACTTTATTTATGAAATCTTTATTCCTTGTCATATTTACCTTTTCTTATCAAAGGTATTCAACCTATTCCTCTTCGCCTCTTAATGATTTTATCGCTAATATTTTTCTTGGTTTAATGAAGGCAGTTGGGCTACTATTCTTCTGTTGTTAGTATCTTTTATTATCCATATTCATATGTAAGTGGTGTAACATAATCCCGGCTTATTCGGTGTTCTGTTCTCAACGACTACAAGCATATTAATTCACTAGGCAGTAAGTCATAACTTTTGTGTGAAGGTTAGTAGTAGTACCTGGTTGCCCCCAAACCTCGCTAGGTGGAGCGTGGTTAAAACCTGTAACCTACTCCTTGAAAATCGAATATCTTGGCTAGTAAGCCACAGATCTGCACATGAATTGTTGCATCAAATCCTACAGTGTATCTGTGAACTTACATATTTGCGTGTGTGTGAGCGTGGATATACATACATAGGGAGAGGAGTTTATGAGATCTCTTGAGCATATCACATAGATATAAACCACTCAGAGAATTACTATTTATTGATATACTTGTAATTCTCCGTTGTTATACTAGATCGAATTGTTCGACTTCTGTTGGTATATGGGCTTCTATGTGGATGCCTCGATATTGCCCTAATATTTTATCATTATGGCCTAGCGCATAACGCTTTGGTGTTTGAAGCGATAGATACGACGTTCGAGTCTTAGTGGGAACAACTTCACTCGCTGGAGTGCAGGTACACTCAGCTGACGTGTCCCAAGTAGAACGAAACGTACATCCCGAACTCCTGCTAGCCACAACCAAGTAAGTTATATTCATAACATTGATATCAAGTCAGAAGTCGGGTCTTGTAGCTCAGCTTGTAAAGCACCAGACCGGTAACCCTGGAGGTCGCTGGTACAAATCCTACTAAGGCCCAGGTTTTCATTTCACCTTCAATCTTCAGGCAGTATTAATACACTCCTGCTGAATCACAGCTGTTATCTCAGATGGTCAAACTGATAATTAGTAGATTGTGGTTCAAATTTTTATTCTGGGGTAAATTAATATCAACGTTTCAAAGGAGACCTAGGAAAATTGTATCTTGAGGGAGTTGTGGGATTTGGAAATATTTCAAGTTGTTATTCATCGTAGACTGACATCAGTTGGAGGAACAAAGAAAATCTGGGAGCACTGGACAGCTGTTTCGTCCTATTATGGACTCCTCAGCAGTGCGCACTCACGACCCCACCAACGGGGTAGTCCCGAAGTTCCAATGAGAGGTCGTGACCAGTGGGGGCAAAGCCTGATGGTCGTGAGGACAGTTACTCAAAGATGACATTGGGTGGCGGTTGTCCTATATCGTGAGCTAACAGAAGTTGGAAATATGGACCCGTTGGATTCTGACCCAGTGGCTCAACGGTAACGAGCTGGCCACGGAACCTGAAGGTCGCGGGTTCGATCCTGGTAGTGCGGGGTCGTAGGTGCGCACTGCTGAAGATTCCCATACTAGGACGAAACAGCTGTCCAGTGCTCCCAGGTTCCCTTTGTTCCCCCAGCTGATGTCAGTCTACGATGAATACCATCTTGAAAATTGTATTTACCGAAATCCACAAGGATCAGAAGTGAGTAGACGACATGGTTAGAATTGTGAATAGGTAAGACTAACGAATCATGAGGTCACTTTCATTTGCCCGATATTTAGGTACGCATCGATTGGAAACAGGGATCGAACCCGCGACCTTCAGGTTCCGTGGCCAGCGCGTTATCGTTGAGCCACTAGGTCAGAATCCAACGGGTCCATATTTCCAACTTCTGTTAGCTCACGATATAGCGCAACCGCCACCCAATGTCATCGTTGAGTAACTGTCCTCACGACCATCAGGCTTTGACTCCACCGGTCACGAAATTCAATTTCATGTTATCTAGCCATGAGTACTAACCGGATTCTGTCGGTCATTTCGCAATGTGGCTAGCTACCACCACCCAAGCTAGGAGGTTTACCATGAAGATGCACTTTTAATGATGTTAGTTAGTTGAAAGGAAGCCTTTGACCTAGATTTCAGGCTTGCTGCTGTTCGTCAGTAGGGCTTTTCTGTAATTTTGAAAGACCTGATGTCCCATGAGAACCCTATTGAAAAAGTTACTCAGCTGTAGGAAATGTCAAAATGAATCGTGCAATTTGTAAATCATTTACAAAATAATCATCCTATTTTAGAGCCTGTAGTAACTACACCAAGTTATTTGGCCAGTGTTGTATGCATAGTTTGCTGGAATATTAAGACACGCAATGACTTGATGATATCAGATAGTGGAGGAGTGTCTGGGACAATGTTCAATCTCCTACTGAAGGTATCGTAAGTCTTTTAAATAAACTTTCACAGAGAATGGGTAAAAATAACGTTCGAAATCAATGGAGGTGTATTCCTGAGAACGGATGAATTCCTTCACTTTTCGAGCTATCATTATCGCAGTAATCCAGCAAATCAGTCTAATGTTTATTAATGACTAACTTCGAGAGGTAATTCCTGAAGTTCCAATAAGAAGTCGTGACCCATCACCTTTTCAGACGACATCATCAGTACTAACGTCATACTGAAGCTTCACGATTAAACAATCCAGCTCACAGAACACAATACAACCAAGAAATACAGAGAAAAATTTTGAGAGAATTGACAGCTGGACGCATTTACTCTACGGTGATAAGTTTCGAGTAACGTAACTGAAGTTCTTTAATAATTCCTAGAATATTAGTCATGTATGTTGTTGTTTGTATTATCCCGTCGTTGAATGGACGCAATTCAGTCCACTCAACGACGGGATAATACAAGCAATTAATATCAAAATCATACCCATCGTACAAGAAGTGGCTCGGTGTTTGAAGCGATCAGTACCGAGTCCTAATGGGATCAACATCCCTCGCTGAGAGGTAAACACATCCAGTTGATGAGTCCCAAATTGGACAAAACATACATCCTGGGTTCCACTGCTAGCCACTATCTATCATTAGGACGTTAGTCATGTAGCTTACACAGCTGAGACGACTTTGTTAAAGGAGGATCCTACATCAGTCATGACGGTATATCATAGGAAAGTAGTAATAAATGTTTCGACGATTCAGCTTCCCCTGCTAATAACTCCTATCTTAATTTTTAATATTGTCTACTAGATAGTTGGTTGCATCACACATAGGCATGACTACAAACACGTCTATAATCAGATACCTTTAACGATTATATTTCATCCACTTTTAAGTTATTACTTCACCTTAGAGTAAAACAATCAAAAAATGTTGAGAAGTGTACTTATCTTTCATTGAGCACTCTAACTGCTTTTTACACATTGATTTAGCCTATATCAACTTTTAATATTAATGCCAGTTTATTCAATGAATTGAAATATCAGGTTGATATTCATCATGAACTAACATCAGTTGGAGTAACATTGGGATCGCTGAAGGTGAGAGCACTACCTCAAAGATGATACTGAATAGAGGTCTCCCTGGAACAGAGCTACAAAAAGGCAGCCAATAGAGAAATTGTTTTCAGATCATGATTTATACATGTACTAACATGATAATCTGATTGGGAAAATTCGACGTCATACAACCAATCGGATTAGTCTATTTATTTATGGCTTCATTCTCTCAGGGTTTTGTAAATATATACATACATATACTATGTATTTGCCTAATAAAGTTGTTATTGTTTTTGCAGTCACAGACTATCTTTTGTCTTCTGATTTTCGTGGCTCAGTGAAGAGTACTCGTATCCAGTCCAAGTATCTCGTTGCATTATAATCTCGTTTAGCTAATTGTTAGAATCCACGTCATACCCCAACTCAGACACATTACTCCCTGTATTGTGAACTGACAGGAGTAGGAAATATGGACCATTGGGTGCCAACCCAGTAGCCTAACGGTTGGTTACATGCTAGCCATGGAACCCGTAAGTCCTGAGTTCGATTCCTAGTGGGGTCATGGATGCCCACTGATGAGCAGTCCCATGCTAGGACGAAACAGCTATCCAGTGCTCCCAATGATTCTTTATTTGATATCAGTTCATGATGAATGTCAGTCAATAAATCCCGACAGATCTTCAAATTGAATTAAAATATGTCAAATTCTCATGTTCAAGCCTAAAATGAGTCAAGAGAGGTAAACGGATTCACATAATTCAGCTAAAAATCTCGTTCTTGTCCACTTTCATTAGTCTGTAGTGCGAAACTGGTTACATAAGGTGGAATGTACAACTTTCAGAGCTGACTTATTGAAAAGGCAGGTGATACGATGAAGAAATCCGACTATGTGGGTTTCGCAGCACTGCACAGTCAGTCAACTGTACGACACATCCGTTCTAAGCTCCAACTGCAATATGCAAACTACTTATCATGTTAATCCAACCAACTTTAAAGAAACAGTATCTTCCTAAGAGAAACAAGTAGTCCATCCATTTTAGATCGACTGAGTCGTTGGTATAAGTAGACCTGACCACATTGTGAAGACGACAGTTGTGTGTGTGTGTGTGTGTTTGAATCAATCCTCAAGGCTGAGTAACTAGTTCGGCAACACAAATTGTAGACTTGCAATTCAGTTCTCATTACTGACTGATTCCACAATAAACTTCTCAAAGTTCCAAAACGAATTCAGTGTCTGCAAAGTCAACCAGGTTGAAAGTATGACTGGATGCCTACCGATGAGATTAGCTGACAGTTACATCATACCAGTGAAACATTAAATCTGTGTAACATGGTTTGAAGGGGCCACGGAAAAGAACCTACAAGATTTGGATTTCACCGATAACTTGTGTCTAATGTCACACAAACTCGAAGATGTACAGGCGAAAATTAACAAGTTGACAGAAGAGGTGGGGCAGCCAAGACGGGACTTCCTTCAGGTGGATGTAGACAAAACAGAGGTGGTGAAGAAGATACCCAACGAACAACAGCATGAACAACAAGGGGAACCAATCACCATCAACGGGAGAAACTTAAAGGAAGTAGCCTCTTTCACCTATCTAGGCAAGGTAGCATCGTTTCAACTACAGGGTTGCGGCACAGGCACAGACGAGGATGTCAAAGCCAGAATCGGAAAAGCAAGACAGGCATTCATTAACCCGAAACCAGTGTGGAGATTTTCTCCACTGAACTGCACTCAGCATAAAGCCCGAACAACATCCCGATTTTCAACACCGATCCAGTCAAGTCAGTCAGTACTTCTATGTGATGGTTCAGAGACTTGGCGCGTTACCAAAGTCATTTCCAACAAACTACACACATTCATCAACAACTACGTCTACGCTGGCTCGTTACTGAAGCTCAGATCAGATGGCCAGAATAATAATAGGAATAAGCAAGGAGGAACTCTGGCTGGCTGACTGACTGGCTGGCAACGAACCAACCAACCAACAACCTATCGCTCAACAAATATGCAGAAGGAAGTGGAAGTGTAGATGGATGGGGCATGCACTGAGAAGGCCGATTGGGGACATCAAACACCAGGTCAGGCCGTGGAGTGGAACCCAGATGGGAAACGACGAGTTGGGCGTCCGAGGTGAGATGACATGGAGGAGATCGTGTCAGGAAGGCAGACGTGCTGTTCACTAGGAACCCAAGGGACAAATAATATATAATGATAATAATAATAATAATTTGTTCTTGTCTATTTACCCATCGAAATCTAAGCAAAGATTCATTGTAGTCTACAATAATCAACTAAATCGTTAAATAGGTTGTGTTTTTTTTCTTCTTATAATTACTTACAAATTCCATTTATTATTTATTGAAAAACAAAATCATCATTATGAGAAATTACATTCAATAAAGTATACAATTTATATGGTGGTAGAACAAAATACACAGATTGTTGTTCATGTTCATATTTATTATTTAAGGATAGAAAATTATTTTCCTTTTTTAAATTGACTCGTTTTAATCGCCAATATTCAGATGATGATGATGGTATTGTTGTTGTTGTTGTTGTTGTTGTCATTTTAGAGGGACAACAATTACGTGAAGTCATCATTCTACGCTTTAAATTGAATCGACAATTTCTTAAAAATGTTGGTGAATTTAAATACATTTTTAAAGCTAATTGAATTGATATGAAATTATTTTTAGGCTTTAGTCTATCTGATGATAAATTCATAGAAGTAGAAAAAAGTTGAAGAGATGCCAAAGGAAGTATTATTCTTTTCATAGGATGTTGTAATATCATTATTCATAATATCATATAGACTGATAGATACATCAATACCTTGATTTAACATATACTTCAATTTACTACATAATCTTTTCCATAATGATGGATTAAACCCTAACAAAAGACGAGCTAATTCTAAGTCATTATAGTTATTATGACTATAATTAACATTCGAATAATCATTTTTTAAAGGTATACTAGAATTATCGATTGTTTTACATAGATTATCACTTGAGGGAATCTGAGGTGAAGCAGTAGAAGTAGTAGAACGAGATGATGATAAACAAGGAGGATTGCCTAACTGAACAAGTGCACTTCCACTTCCATCACTAATTGTAAATCGTATACAAATTCCTAAATCGATAAAATTTTCATCTCCTATGGTATTCAAAATATAACAATAATGAAAAAAAAGTCATAGAATACACAATAAAAGTTAATTATGAAATATAAATCATCTAGTTATACTCTATTCTACTAGGGAGGCAAATATGAACATTTGAAACTATCTAGACTTTAATAAAATACAAGTTTGATTGTCCACAAGTATAGCATGTGCTCTAAGAGAATGAAAGAGATGGCATGTTACATTAGCTGGCCTACTGAAGAAATCTTAACTCGAGCACAGAAAGTCTAGTTAGCATTCATCAACTTACATCATCTCTGGTGAGATATCCAACTATCTATCAACGGATGAGTTTACTACATTGCGGTTCGTTAAAAGGGATAAGAAATGAAGTGGTTACAAGGTTTTGATCAAGAGTGCTTTTGTAGCATTAGTCGCACACGGTGGAATCACTGTATAACCAATGTTGAGGTCAGGTGAAGGGTACTAGGCAAGACAGACCCATAAGTCGACTAATGAGGTTGTCATCGATTGAGATGAGGTGGCTTCGACATGTACTGTGAACGCCAAGTCACCACCTTCCTCGTCGTGCCATCCTGGCGGATGTTGAATTACGTTGGAAGAGGGCTGAAAAAAACGATAACAGACATGGTTCAGCTTTCTTGTCTCTCCTTTTGGTGAAACGTAAGGCCAAAGTAATGAACGCTCCTTTTAATGCATCTTTTAGACCACTTCATTAATAAACCACTTTTTGCTCCTAACTTTTCTGGCGTTTCTTGTGTCTTCATAAAGTTGCTTAATTTTGTACGGCGCATCTCTTGGTGCCCTTGTTGTATCACGTTGGCATTATTACTCGTATTATTATAACTATTATTTGTCCCTTGAGCTCCTAATGGAACATACGACTTCAATACCACGTCGCCATTTCACTCTCTTCTACGCAATCCTTTCAACCTGGCTCCACAACTGCCCATTACCTTTCATTTCTTCTTCACACAATCTCCTCCATGTCACCATCGCCCCCCAACGCCCAACTCGTACTTTCCCATTTCGGTTCCACTCAACGGCTTGGCCTGGCCTCGCCCGACGAACGATATCTCCAAAACCGTCTTCTCACTCTATGTCTAATCCAATCCAATCCATCTCCACTTTATTCGTCTCCATATTTGTTGGTTCGTTGCCAGATACCCAGCCAGCCAGCCACAGTTCCTTCTTGCTTATTCTTATTATTCACGTCATCCATCTCATCGATCTTCAGTCTCAGTATCGAGTGAGTGTAGGCGGAAGCTGTTGATAATGTATGTTCGCAGGTTGCTGGAAATGTTTTTCGCGTTACGCCCGCCAACTCTCTCAACCATTACTAACTTATTGTTTAAAATCCGGGTCACCTTCACCCTTTATGCTGAGTGCAGTGCAGTAGATCTCCACACTGATTATCTCAGACTAATGAAGGCCTGTCTTGCTGTCTCTGCGATACTGCCTGCCTTTCACACCCTCATCTGTGCCACCGCCTCCGCTTGCAGTTGAAACGATGCTGCCTACGCAGATAGGTAGGTGAAACAGATAACTTCCTTTACGTTTCCCCCTTCATGGTGATTGGTGCTTGTTGTTTTTGTTGGTGGTGGTGGTGGTGGTTGGGTATCTTCATTACCTCTACCTCTGTCTTCTCTACGTTCACTGCCTAGCCTCTTCTGCCAACTTGTTGGCTCTTGTCTGTAGATCTTCAGACAATGACACTAGTTCGAACCCGACCGTACCTCAGTTGATTTTATTCCAGCTTCACTTCAGCTTCAAATCACCTAATCATTATCGAAGGTGTGTGAACCAGTTTCACCTTGGGAGTTAGATTGGTTACGATATACATTTCGAACAGTCTGACCACACTTTATTTGTTAAGGCATTTTATATGAGAACTGTGGAAGTGGTACAAATATGACATAAAGGAAATTGAGGATAAAAAATATAATGAAGAGAGAATGATAAGATTTGAAGACAACCGTCATAATACAATAAGTATCACAAGAGTAGGTTTAGCATAAGGATAAACTCTTCTTCAACACACGATGGTGCAAGGGTTTCAGTAAATCTAAGTATAAGCGATTGACAGCTCCAATTAACTGTTGTAATATTTTTTTAATATCACTTCTGTAACCTTTATTAATGAATGATGATCGTTGTTTATGAGTGTAGCTGGTTTTGTAACCTTTTCCGTACATGTTTCCCCACCCTCAAATGCATATCTCAACTAGTCCTCCCTTTGCATATGTTTCCACATACGCAAATGTAAGCTGGTACACCCAGTGGGATGTGACACAATCGTTCATACAGTGAAGTGATATGTGTTGCAAAATGTGTTTGGCTTTCTCAACTACACTGAACCTAACTGCTTAGTATGCTGTGCTAATGATAGACCATAGCTTTCTTTTTAAAATTATGCTATGAAATTCCTCTTTGTTTCGTGGAACGATATAGACACATTTCTTCGAAACAGAACACAAAGTGGGTTTAAACATAGACTGACTTGTGCAACGATTTATGAAGTTCAATGGATATCCATATACCATTTGTGTTTCAGTTAGTATTTTGATGTCGTCATCCACTGAGTCTTATGTAAAAATACCTCAGTTCCTCTTGGATAGGCAATATGCTAAATTTCGCCTATAGGGAGTTGGACGGAAGCTAGAGAAACCTAAATACTGTCCTATGCAAGTTGGATTGTTTTAAACTGACCGTTTTATTGAACGATTTTTCCTATGACTCAGAAGTATATCCAGGAACGGCAGACGGTTGTCTTTCTAACGAATATGTCACAATTAAATCATCAACATATCTCTCGTAGACAGTAACTTCTGTTGTATGTGCTGACATACATGTATAGGGACGACTAATCAACATATCCACTTGAGGATGGGAAGACATTTATCAAAATGACTACAAAAGCGGCTGGATTCACAAACAACCATCATCATCATTCATTGCAAAACACATTACAGATAAAGGTAAAAGGATTGATATAAAAACAGCCTTTACAATAGTGTATAGAAAATGTCAGGGGTGTATATTTGAGTTTGTTGAAGCAAAGACACCCCCCCCCTCTTCCGCTGTACGTTTAAAAACAGTATGTCCCCGTGCTTAACTTACCTTGGTAAAGCTTATATTATGGTATTACCAAGGTTGTCTTAAAATTTTATCATTCTATATCCTCATAACAAATTTCTTTATATTATATTTGTCCTTCCACCACTTCCACAGTTTTTTCATATAAAATGCCTTAACAAGTAAATACGATCAGATCGCTAGAAGTTTATGGCGCAAATGCATCACATTTTCAAATAAACTATGTCTTCTAATTAAGTTGTCCAAATATTGAAAAGAAATTAACTGTTTCAGATATTGGAAGGTTCAATTCTGTGTAAAACAACTAACAGAGAAGTAAAATGTGCAAAGAAAATTGATTTCACCACTGTTCTATCACCTATACTGACGGTTTGCAGACAAGGAAGTTCTCATAGACAGTCTCAGTGAAAAGCATGTAAGAGACTATTTATCATACGACCAGATAAGGAATTTCTATTCATTATTAAAGTATCTGATATACCTGTGGTTTGGTAGACAAGTGTTACTAATACTGACTGATGACTGAAGCTGATGTGAAAAACTAGGTGGTAGCAGGAGTCGAACAAGCAACCGGCAACGGATTGCCGAACCGCGGCACTATCAAATCTTAATGGGAAACCGTAGGGTCCTGCTGCTTTGCATCATTTAACCCTAAGAAAAGGCTTTGTCAACTTAAAGGAGAGTTGGAAGGCCAACATCCACACCCCACCCAAGTTACAGTTGAATGCTCGGTAAGTGAAGCGTCGTTGTGAGCCAGTTGAACCGCCTGTCAAAGTATTTTGCGACAGTTCAAGCTGCCTATCTTTTGATGCCATCAAGAGTCTATAATTTCTGTCAATAGTTTGAATACCGCCGTCTTCTTTGAACCAGTTCCTTTAACCACCCATCCTCGTCATTTTCGCCATCCACCACTGGTTGTCGTCATTGCGAAGACTGTTTGTCAATTCGCGTTTTAGTTGAGTTCGTTACAGAGGAAATGTGACTCGGTGGTTTACAGAGATGGCTGTCAACTAGTGGGGCCACGGGTTCATTACTCCTCGTGGTTAGAGTCAACTGAAATAGGCGTTCTCGCATCAGTCAGTTCGCATACGTTGGCTGAAGTTCAATGACTTTGCTAACATTTGACGATATGCAGTTAATTATCTTCACCGCTGTTTTTACACATGACTGAATAATACATTAGACTCCATCCGGCTGATAGTTGCTACCATGTACAAATAAATCCCTGGCCAATTCCTGCATAATTACACACTTCACTTTATGATCTTCCAGCTTAACAAAGAGAGGCCTTATTGCTGTTTGTTTCTTGCATCCACTAAGTTCCCGTATTAACGTTTCATCGGAGTTGGAGTAGACACTCCAGAAAGAGCAGTAATACCCAACTGATCCTCGAGAAATATGACTTCCAGCAATATGATCTATCTATGTCCATCGTCGGCTTGATGTTTATGGAAGTTAAATAAAAGAATATCTCTCCTTATGTCAGGAGTGCTGGTCAGAAAAGAGCAACTGTCGATACATAATCGCAAGTGACGATACCATTGTTAATTCATGGAAATAGGATACTGTAGATAATCTTAAGACGCTCTTAACAACGGCTCCGTTTCCTTACTTCAGCTTCAAAGTCATCCGCTGCTATTGAAGGAAACGAGAAGACAGAGATGAAGGAAGGAATGTTTGTTATTAACATCTTGTACAGTAGTCGTTAAATACTATACACCATGCACCAAGAGTCATTTGTAAAATATGCCTCATTTCCTCTTCTGCTTCTATCTTGATTTGCTTTTAATACGCCCTCATTGTTTCTTGCGTTTGTCTTGGCAGAATCCTTACCCATTGCTGGTAATTCCCTATGGTTTCTGCTGCCTTCTCAACATATACTACTTATATCCATTCTTATCAGCAACGCCCACTATACTATGAATATATCGTAACATTTTGCCTTGTGTAAAGAAATTGACAGCTTTCTGAAGAAATCGACCTTTTTATCTTCCGAACTAAAGTAGGTCGGTACACTTAGGCAACGACAACAAACAACTATCAACAAAAGTCGTAGTACTTCTCACATATCCATTCAGTAGATGAACACAAAAATGACTATTAATTGGTATCTCGTCAATAAGTGCACTTTCAACGATAGGACCTGATGCTGTACATAAACCCAGCGAGTTCAGGAGAACTGACTACCCAATGTCTGGGATCAATGCAGTGATCAGTTCGGGTCAAGTGAATAACCATACATGGATCTTGTGTAGGCAAGTGTTTGAAACACGGCATACATTCATGTCTCAAGATTTCAAAGGAAATGGTAAGTGAAATCAGTTGTTTGATCCAACCTACTGTTTCAATGTTGAAAGATCCAATCCGAAGTTGACAACGTAGTTTTAAGAGATTAAGAATGATTCTTCGCTGGCTGGCCTGTATGGTACAAAGTTGAGGGAGGTGTAATAGGAAGGAAGGAAGAAAGAAGACAAGGAATGGATCTCGACGGATACATGGAAGCTGATAGAGCGGAGAGGAGGATGGTGAAACAGAAGATAAACCAGTGCAAGGATGCTCAACGACAACAGGAACTGAGCACAATGTATAAAACACTACACTGGACAAAGAAGTGAAGAGGAGTGCACGCAACGACAAAAGACACTTCTACGAAACACTGGCAAGTGAAGCAGAACAGGCTGCAGGTAAGAGGAGAGACCTGACAACATTGTATCAAATAACCAGGTTGCTATCTGGGGAGAGACCAACACAGATGAAACCAATAAAAGATGAAGAAGGAAATTTAATTACGAAAGAAGAGAAACAGAGGAAACAATGAGCCGACCACTTCAAGAAGCTCTTGAATCGACCACCACCTGCACTTCGTCCAGAAATACCACCTGCAGCCGCTGAACTACAAGTGAACATAAATCCTCCAACAAAAATGGAAGTCCTGAACACCATAAAGCTACTATAATGCAGGAAAGCAGCAGGACCAGACGGGGTACCGCCAGAAGCACTGAAAACAGATGCAGAGACAACAGCAGACATGCTCACACCACTACTGCAGAAGGTGTGGAAGGAAGAGAAGGTACCTGGCTTGTGATTGGAAGAAGGGTTACCTTGTCAAACTGCCGAAGAAAGGAGACCTCAGTGTTTGCAAGAACTGGCAAGGAATCACTCTCCTGTCCACACAGAGCAAGTAAAATATTAAGCCGCATCATCCTGGAGAGGCTAAAGGATGCACTGGATTCAAAACTACGACCGGAACAGGCAGGCTGGTTTCAGGAAGTACAAATCATGTGCAGACCAAATTGCAACGCCACACTACGCATCATCATAGAACAGAGCATAGAATGGCAATCAGCTCTCTACCTCAACTTTATCGACTTTGAGAAGGCCTTCGACAGCGTCGACCGAGAAGTAATTTGGAAACTGCTTCAATACTACGGAGTACCGCAAACCTTTATCAGCCTCATTCAACAACTATATGAAGACGCCACATGCCAAGTAATTCACAATGGGAAGCTCAGTGATGATTTTGAAGTGAAGACAGGAGTGAAACAAGGTTGCCTACTATCCCCATGATATTCCTGATTGTGGTCGACTGGATCATGCAGCAAACAGTGGGGAGCGAGAAGAGGGGGATACGCTGGCTGGACTGCGGAAAAGAACCTAGAAGATCTGGATTTCGCCGATGACTTGTGTCTGATGTCGCACAAACTTGAAGATCTACAGGTGAAAACTAACAAGTTGGCAGAGGAGGCAGCGAAGACGGGACTTCAGGTGAATATAGAGAAGACAGAAGTGATAAAGATACCGCACCAACAACTCCAACAGCAACAACAAACTCCAATCAACATCAACGGGAGAAACTTAAAGGAAGTAACCTCCTTCACCTATCCAGGAAGCACTGTTTCAACTACAGGCGGCACAGACGACGAGGATGTCAAAGCCAGAATCGGAAAAGCAAGACAGGCGTTCATTAATCTGAAACCAGTGTGGAGATCTTCAGCACTCAGCATGTGGAACAGGATCCAGATTTTCAACACCAACGTCAAGTCAGTGCTTCTGTACGGTTCAGAGACTTGGCGCGTTACGAAAGGGATTTCCAACAAACTACACACATTCATCAACAAGTGCTTACGCTCGCTACTGAAGATCAGATGGCCAGAAAGAATAAGCAACAAGGAACTCTGGGAACGAACCAACCAAGAACCTATCATGCAACAAATATGCAGGAGGAAGTGGAGATGGATTAGCCATGCACTGAGAAGGCCGACTGGGGACATCACGCGTCAGGCCAGGCACTCGAGTGGAATCCCCATGGGAAGCGACGAGTTGGACGTCCGAGGGTGACATGGAGGAGATCCAGCGAGGAGGAAATGAGAGCTTCTGGGCTGTCGTGGAGCCAGGTTGAAAAGATTTCAGAGAAGAGAGTGGAATGGAGACGTGCTACTGAAGCCCTATGTTCCACTAGGAACCCAAGGGACTAATAAATATAATAATATAATAATAGGCTTAATATTGGTAACAGGAGGTAGTGAAGGCAACGGAAGAGACAACCAATGTCAATCCATGATGAACACCAACATAATACGCCTACCAGTGAAAATATTTAGCAATGATAACATTCAGTCTTCAGTGTAAAGGACAATCATCAAGTATTAGGTTCAGTTTTTCACACGAGTACGGTCACTGCAACAGCTAAAGTAACCAGTTCCAGTCAGAAATCAAACTCAATAAATAAAAAAAAGACGCAAAGAAGCCAAAACTACTCACCATTGACTATGCCACCATTTGTATAGGGTAAACGATAAACTTGAAATTCTAAACATCGTGTTATTGTAGCCTGTACACTGATACACTCCTTACAAATATCGTCAATACATATCCAATCGAAATTATTCACAATCGATAAGTGTTTTGTTGTTGTTGTCGTTGTTGTTAAAGTTTCATCATGGTTATTATTATTATTATTTTTATTATTATTATTATTCTCTTCTGAAGGTAATATATTCATAGGTATACTGTTGTTCAACAAATGTGTATCAATCCTATTCTTCTTCAACATTGAATCAATACTATGCTTGTTGTCAACCACTATCCATGATAATGCATTACAATGGAATTGTAAATACATCAATGACTCTGATGATGGATAAGTTATTGAGAAAAGTGTAAAATTTATAATTTACATAATACAACCTTAGATAAATTCATTAATAATAATTTCATATTATTATTACTTTTTTCATCATTACATAGGCGTATTTTATAGATATTGTTTAACTGATATGTACATTCTGTTTTAATGATTACATTAGATGACTGAGATATTGAATCTGTAACCCATAATATCCAATCATTATATGGTATACGATAATATTTAAACAAAATTATCACTTGAAAATTGAACTGAGAATTGATCATTGAACAGTTAGATGATTGATTGTTTAAAAGAATATCATACAGATTGATGAAACTATGCGATGAATATATTTCATTAAATGAATTTGACTGATTTATAGTAGAAACATGAATCAATTGTTCATACTGAGAATGAGAAGTTGATGATGATGATGACATACTTTGTACCAGGTTAAATGATATTGGCCACCAATACGAAATGTGTAATACCATCGATAGGCTAAATCACCAATCAATGATAAATGAATTAATTCTGAATGACTATTTGGTGTGTACTGATGATTACTTAACTTGGTATCAGTTATACTACTGCTACTACTACTAATAGTATTATCAGTAGTATCTATTGGCTTCCCTACAAATTTATATGACCATAATAATTTCTGTGACGGATTAAATTCGATTGATGGATCAAAATTATCATTAGATGAAATAGTAGTCGAAGAAAACAATCGACTTAAACTGATCAAAACAAAGACATTGATTGCTTTTCTTTCAATTTATACTTGACTTTCTCAGGTGTATAATTTATTTGAAGAGGAATAATTTCTTTCGCATAAATATACATTTGAGAGCAGCTACAAGACGAAGATGATGATGATGATGATGACTTTGCATAACATATATCAGAGCTGTAAGTTGGAATGTAATGTAAGAGAAAAAGTATACATAAATATGTAGCTTGAAGTTTATCGAGATTTTATAGCTCATTAGTGGCATGCTTCAACATAGATATATCGATAATACAATGAAAAGTAATGACCTGTATAGTCAACAAAGTTGAAAGTGAATCGGATGCCAAATAAAAAGATCTTGGTGGATACTGCACTATAACCACGTTCACTGTGAAACATGAAGGTAATAAGTTCAATCCTTGGCGTAATCATGGGTGTGTACTGCTGAAGAGTTTCACAGTATGACGAAACATATATACTCGTTTATGAGTCATATTTTCGATATGAACACTGATGAGAAACTCATTTAATAACAAAATAATACTATTCAACTAGGTTTCAGAACTGTAAAAATAAAATTCAACCTCGCCTACTTTATTAGTTTACTTGCCGCTTCTAAGCCCGGATGAAGAGGGAGGGTTAAACATACGGCTACCAACTCTACACCGGAAAATCAATCCGATCGCTAAAGAAACTTCAAAGCACAAACAAAACATAAAAAATATAAAAATAAACTTATTCCTCACTGGAATCGGAGAGACGAAATGACACCGGTTGGTGAAAGCCTCCGTCAAGCCAATTGGCCGATGTCTCTTTCTCTCCCTCTCTCGATGAAAGCAAAAGTAAGCATAACCATGTCCGCATAATGTTTGAAACTGGCTGGCTGGCTAACATGGCTGACCAGATTACAAAGAAATAAGAAGGTATAGCATAGAAGTGTAAGGAATCTGTGAGGAATCTGCAGATGAAATGCAAGTGGACTCTCTAAACTGTCAACTGGAGAGCAGTCAATAATCTACTCCGATATTTTCACCCACAGACAATCACCAGCACACTGGGTTTTCGAGTGGCTATCATGATGTTCCCAACAGCACCAAGACTCATTCTCATGCAGTGGCAACCAATCTCCTCCTCCACATCAGCATCATGACAGCAAGATGGATTCAACTCAAAAGGAAGGAAAGTTACAATCATACAGTGCTACACTACACTACACTACACTACACTACACTACACTACACTACACACCTACAAGTAAATAATGTGGATCAAGAGAAGAAGAAGGAATTCTACACACAACTGCAATAGATACTGAACAAGACCCACCACAGTTGGCGACGTCAAAATTCATTCTAATGGGTTGGGTGACATGAATGCCAAACTGGGAGCGGACAACACAGGAAGAGAACTCATCATCAGGGGTCGAGAAGCACTCGGTGAAATAATGAATGAGAATGGAGAGCTGTTTGTAGATTTCTGTACATTCAACGATTTGGTGATTGGAGTCAGACAGTGTGTACAAACACAAGGATATTCACAAGGCAGCGAGATGGATTTGATTTCACCAGATGGACACACTAAAAATCCAATTCAGATCCACTTCATCTGAATGTGAAGAAAGTGGAGACGCGGTCAGCCTACTCGACACAAGATAAGATGGAGAAGGGGAGCAGATGTTGGTTCACACCTCTCACTATTAGTCCAAGGAACCTAACTTCAAAATCAAGTTGAAAGCCTTCAAAAGACCTGGTCATAGACAACCACAGTTCAAGTCTAACACCCAGAACAGAAACTGAAGTGAAGGAAGAAACTTCAAAGGATATCTTCACATCAGTCAACTATCAGGACAAAATGGGAGACACTGAGCAACATCCCTGAAAAAACCTGTGTGGAAGAACACTGGAACTCTGAGAAATTGATGTGGCGTGGAATGAAACCTGCATAACCGTGTTAGGAAGGAAGAAGAAGAGGTGAGACAAGTAGTGAATCACCATGGACACATGGAAGCCGATACAGGACGGAAAGAAGATGGAGATGGTGCAGCAGAAGACAAACCACTGTAAGGCAGTGCAGTGCAGTGGACAACGAAAAGAGGAACTGAATACAACCTATAAAGTTCTACACTGGAAAAACAAGTGAAGAAGAGTGCGCGCAAAGGCAAAAGACACCTCTATGACACACTTGCAAGTGAAGCAGAACAGGCTGTTGGTAGGAGAGAGAAAGACCTGACATTATTTCAAATAACCAGGTTACTATCTACGAGGGAAGAGATCAACACAGCACAGATGAAATCAATGAGAGATAGTGAAGGAAACCTAGTTACCACCAAAGAGGGAACGATGAGCTGATCACTTCAAAAAACTCTTGGATCCACACCACCACCACCACCACCTGCAACTCGTCCAGAAATACTACCAGCAGCCTATCCCAGCCACAGAACTATTAGTCAACACAAACCCTCTGACAAAAGCAGAAGTGAAGTCTTGAACATCATAAAGTTGCTGAAATCCGGTAAAGCAGCAGGACCAGATGGAATTCCTCCTTCACTAGCAATCCAAGATACAAATAATGATAGCAAATAAATAAATGTATAAAGTTCAAGCGAAGATCAAGTGAACTATATAAATTGCTTGTTAGCCACATCGTTATTAAACGGCTCAATTCTCTATAGAACTAGGAGATAAATAGGATAGTGCTCTCCATCATTTGGCAGCAACTAGAATTTCGATAACGTTATTCGACGACGAATATTACGTGAACAATATATGTGTGATGTATTTACCGAATACATTTCGAACAATCTGATCCCTTACACATTTACTTGTCTCAAGTCAGTTTTTATATGAAAATGAAAGGTCAATTATAATGAATAGGTGAATAGGTTGTGACCCACTAGTCTTGGTAATATAATAATCAGATAAGGATTACCAAGGTAAATTAAGTGAAAGAAACAACCAATTGTATTTGTACACACAACAGGACCTGAAGTTAACGAATGACTAACACTTCAGTGAAGTTTAGTAAGCGCCCTTTAATTGTTCCTATGTAATATCTTGAATGCTGTTTTCATATTAACCTTAACATTCATTTTGCTATAGATGAAGATGCATAGATGTCACCTGAACTTATCAAAGTTTGTGTGTTAAAGTGTTTTTCAAGCTATTTAAGTATATGTTAGCACACTTTAATTTGCATTGCACGATTACTCCTCCCTATGTACATGTGGTCACACGTACATGTAATTTGGTAAACCCAGTGAGATGTGACATAATCACTTATGCGAGGTTAAGGTTTGTGGCGAAGTAGGTGTTTTATTGTCTCAACAATGATAAGCTGAGCTGCATAGTATATTTTACTAATAACAGATTCTAATTTTCTTCTTTGTACAGTACTCTATTAAATATATCCTTCTTCGGGACTGAAAAAAACTATAGGTTTCGGCGTCAGCTGTTTTCTACAATAGTTCACAAACTGTAATGGATATCCGTTTTCCATAAGTGTATCTGTGAGAAATTTTCTCCCATCCATTGTATCAGATGTACAAATACGTTGGATCCTATTGAATAAGCATCTTACTAAGCCTCTCTTATATTTCATTAGACAAAAGCTGTAGAAATTAAAATACTGTCCTGTCCAGGTAGACTTTTCACAGATTGATCGTCTGATAGATCCGTCTTCTATCCGACACAAGAGTATATCAAGAAATGCAAGTTGATAGTCATTTTCTTCCTTATATGTCAGACTGATATAATCATGAACGGTATTAAGCCTTTTTAACAAACTCCTGGCATCCTCAACTGTGTCAAATATTACAAAGATATCAACATACCTTCTATAGAATGTGAAATTAGTGATTTAATCTTGAGTCATTGGTTCAATATGTGACATATTTACATTAGCTAATAACGGTCCTAACCTCGCCTGGTTAACTAGTTCACTAGTTACTAGCCGGTCCTAAGCCCCCGTAAAGAGGGAAGGTTGGGCATAGGGCTAGCAACCCTACCCCCTAAAACAAATCTAACCGCTAAAGAAACTTCAAAGCACAAACAAAATATAAAAAATGAAAACAAACTTATTCCCCGCTGGAATCGGAGAGGCGAAATGACGCCAGTTGGTGAAAGCCTTCGGGAAGCCAATTGGCCGATGTGTCTTCTCTCGATGAAAGCGAAAGTAAACGTGGGGACATGGAATGTCCGTACGATGTTTGAACCCAGTAAGGCAGCCCAGATTGCAAAGGAGATGAGAAGGTATCACATCGAAGTGCTTGGGATTTGCGAAAGCAGATGGAATGGGAGTGGACTCTCCAAACTGTCAACGGGAGAATCAATAATCTACTCCGGTCACCCAGACGCCAACCACGAACACACTGAGTTATGGAGTGGCTATCATGATGTCCTCAAGAGCATCGAAGGCTCTCATGCAGTGGGAACCAATCTCCTCCAGGATCATGACAGCAAGATTCAACTCAAAAGGAAGAAAGGTCACAATCATACAATGTTATGCACCTACAAATAATGCAGAGCAAGAGAAAAAGGAGGAATTCTACAGACAACTTCAGTCAACACTGGACAAGACGTCAGTTGGCGATATCAAAATTCTAATGGGCGACATGAATGCCAAACTGGGAGGGGACAACACGGGAAGAGAACTAACCATGGGTCGAGAGGCGCTAGGTGAAATGAATGAGAATGGAGAATTGTTTGCAGAATTCTGTGCATTCAACGATTTGGTGATTGGAGGCAGTGTGTTCAGGCACAAAGATATCCACAAAGCAACATGGACTTCACCAGATGGACACACTAAAAATCAAATCGACTTTATCTCAATCTCAAGAAAATGGAGACGCAGTCTACTTAACACAAGGTCAAGAAGAGGAGCAGATGTAGGTTCAGACCACTATCTAGTGCAAGGAACCTTCGAAATCAAGTTGAAAGCCTTCAAGGAAGCTGGTGATAGACCTCAATTCAAGTACAACACTCGGAAACTGAAGGATGAAACTACAAAGGAGATCTTCAAGGCAGCCATCAAGACAAAATGGGAGACATCGAGCAACATCCCTGAAGAAACCTGTGTGGAAGAACACTGGAAGTCTTTGAAAGCTATGTGGAAAGAAACCTGCACAACAGTATTAGGAAGGAAAAATAAGAGACAACAAGACAAGGAATGGATCTCGACGG